TGCTATTACAGAATTGAAAAATCCATTTATGTCTGCTAAAAAATTAAGCATAAATTATCATATTTGGGTAGTTAAAATTTTAATAAGAAATATATTTTTTTGTTGCAGACTCTTTATCAGAGGATTTTGATGGTTCATCTGACGAATAATTTGTTGGTTAATATAAATTTCATCAAACATATATATATATATATACATATATATATACATATATATACAAAAATATATACAGATATATACAGAACTTTTTACTCTTATCTAGGTTAAATAAAATACAACAAAATTATTTCTAATTATATAATTGATTTCCTTTCTACAACTTCTTATAATATTGAATTAAGTAATAAATATGACAGAAAAGATTAAATCACTTTTTCATAAGGCAAAGTTGGACGTGAAATTTATGAATGCTGGAAAAGGACACAAGTAATGTTTATGATATTAACTTTGTGATTAAGATACTTCCTGTTATTTGAATTACTACTGGATCTCATGTTCTAAATTTCATATATACCTCAGTTATTAAATTGATTATCATTAGTACATATATTATAGTGTTTGATAATTCAAAATTATTTTATGCAGATTGACAGAATCAACTAGCAATGTTGGGTCTACTTCCACAGTAGAGCCAAGAAAAAGAGTAGAACCTACGAAAGAAGCTAAAGTAGCTGGTCAAGCAGCTTTAGCAAGATTGGAAGCGAAAGAATCTAATGTAAAAAGATTTAACACGTAAGTTTTTTGCAAAAAAGATATTAACCTTTATTGATAACTATAGATATAGTAGTGACAATTTAACAACTATAAGTATAATAATGAATTAAGTATATAAATAAATATATTTGTATGTTATAAAATTTGTAGATCATATGCAGCTATTAAAGCACAAGTAAAACGAGAATTAGAGCAAGAAAAACAAGCACAGAAAAACGTACAAAAAAATCATGTGCAACCAGAAGAAAAAGCAGCTGAGGATAATTCTTCATTAGCTGTTAGCTATGTATGCTATCGTTGTCCGTATTTGTCTGATGAAGTATTACCGCAAGATGAATGGAAAGTAAAAATAAAAGAATTTTTATACGAACAATTGAAAGGGGAAGATGCAGGTTTAATATCATGTTTAATTATACAAAATTGCAACAGTAAAAAGGAAAGAATTGATACCTGCGTAGATACACTTGGGAAATATTTAGAAAATATCATAAATATTCCAGAAGAAGAAAAGTATAAGAAGATTAGAATGCAGAATAGAGTATTTCAAGTAATACTTTTGCCTTTTTTTTAATAAGTAGATTTATTTAAGGAGAGAGTATTTTTTATATAAACATTTTATCAATATTTTAAAGGATAAAGTAATCCCAATTGAAGGTGCATTAGAGTTTTTAAATGCTGCTGGTTTTTGTCAAAAAAAGTTAATGAATAATGATGAAGAGGAGGATTTTTTAGTCTGGAACGCCAATAATTGTAATATTGATGATCTCATCATATTATTGGAGGCACTAAAAACTGCACAGCCTATTCCTTTGGAATTAGATCGAAATCTTCAAATATTGTTACCCATGCAAGCAAACATGAGAACTGAATTGCCACCAAGCTTTTTCAATTTAACTCCCGAGGATATAGGAAAAGAACAACAACTTCGGTAATTATATACTTATTATATAAGCAAATTAAATATAAAATTTTATTAAATAAATTACATGTAGTTATTATACGTATATATATTTATGTGTACATTTTTCTTTATTAATATTAATAGAACTGAAGCAGTTGAAAGAGATCAGATGTTAAGGACAAAAGCCATGAGAGAAAGAGACGAAAAACAGAGGCTCAGAAAATATAAATTTTCACTGATTCGTATAAAATTTCCAGATAATCTTATTCTACAAGGAACATTTTCTGTACATGAAAATTTTCAAAATATTGTTAATTTTGTTAGTGAGAATTTGATAAATAATGAGAGACCTTTCAGTTTAAAGAAGCTTCCTCAAACAACATTTAATGATGATTGTTTTGATAAAACATTACTTGAATTGGGATTATTCCCTGCTACTCTTTTGATGTTTTTTTGGAAAAATATGTCTGAAGAAACAAGTCACAATGAATCAATAGGATACTTAAAAGAAGAATTACTTTCTGTTATACAACCTGCTTAAATTTATAATATTTGCTCTTTATAAATTGTAATTATTAATGTTAAAAAAAGTAAAAATAGATTACTACGTGGCTTATTTCTTTTGATATAATAGAAACAATAATATAAACAATATTCATTCCAAGTTTTGATAAAATAATAGAATAATTTCTTATTCCTTTAATCTTATTTTTCAATATTTGCGAATAAAGTTTATGTGATTATTAAATTTAAAGTCACTTTCATCAGAAAAATTTATGTAATGCTTTATAATATATGGATATACTGACATATGGAAATTTAGGCATTTTACGCAGGGTCGTAATGGATTTTTATTTTATCATTTATATAAGTCCTAAAAGTTTTTTCCTAAAAGATATAAATAAACAAAATATATAAGTAAATTAAATAGATCCATAGTACGTTTTTAATAAAAATCATGGTTTATTGTGGGTGTACATTAATCCTGCACATTGTGCATTTTGGCACTTTTGTTATATATTAATATTTAATATTTTATATCAGTCTTTGACATTTCTTATATGTTTAAATCTTATTGTCATCTAAAGTTATTACAGGAAAGTAAATATATATTAAATAATTTCTGATGTATAGTGTATCCTATTCATTCAAGTAATTAATTTATACTACTAATTTATATTATAAAATAAAAATAATTAAAAACAAAAAATAATAGTTGTGCATATATATGTAACTATAAAATTGTAAAAATGAAATAAATGAATATTAATAATAAATAGAAATAAGTTTTGTTTCGTTATTAAAAAATTGTTGGTTTAACAATTACAACTGAACATTGTAATGTCAACGAAAATACATTTTTCTTTTCTAGTATTTTTTAACAGTTAAAGGAGACGAAAAAATATTGAAAACTCATCTTGTCTCTTGAGATGTATCATTAGATGTTTGATTTTTCCTTTCAACAGGTAAAGCAAGAGTAGCTATTGCAGCGCATAATGCTGTTGCAGCATAAATTGCCATTGCTCCAGTAATAGACCATTGAAGAAATACTTGTGCTATATACGGTGTAACCATTGCACCAATTCTAGCCATTGCACTACAAGTACTAACGCCAATACTACGTAAATGAGTCGGATACACTTCTGGAGTATACACATAAGCAGCTTGAAACACACCAGCAATTAATCCTCTAGCTAGAAAAATTGCCAGTGTTAATGCTGCTCTATTTAATAGACAGGCTCTACCTAAGAAACAGATTAACATGGCAAACATTATTAGCTGAAAGGCCATTGTTTTTTTTCTACCAATTCTTTCAATTGCAAAAATAGTAGAAAAGATTCCTGGAAATTCGGCTAATGTTGTCCAAAGAAGATCAATATAATCACTGCGCTCTAAACGACAATCTAATTGACAAATGTCCTTTTTGCTTTCCCACGAACTACATTGTTCAGATGATGTATGGAATAATTCCGTAGTCATCAATACAACACCATAATAACAAAATGCTGTACTCATCCTAAAAAGGTATCATTATTATTATTTGTACAATGTATTAATATATAATACTTAACATAGATAGTACTTACCACACAAGCCAAAGTAAAGTAGATGTTTTACACATTTCTTTGCTTAATACATCTTTCAATTTACCATGATTAACTTGATAAAAACGATCCATAACTAATCTTCCTGGAGGTAAAGGTTTTTTATTTTCTCTTGCTACTCGTTCTAAAGTTGAAATAGCTTTGTCCATTCTTCCTCTGGTTATATCGAATACTGTAGATTCCGGTAACCACTAATAAAAAATATTATACAAGTTATTTTTATATTTTTAATGCTCACTGTTATTATTTGATTTTTAATATTTACTGGAGTGATGATAGCAAATGCAAGAAGTGGTATTGTTGATAAAATGAGAAGCCATCTCCAACCAAAAGTTGGCATTATTGCCAGTGCTATTGCCACTTCAAAACAAGCTCCAAGTGCCCAAAAACACTACAAAAATAACAATTTCGTTATTGTGATATCACCATCAATGATATAAATGTATATCAAATTTATTTATAAAATATACTTATGTACATCTAACAGAATGACACATTTTTCTCTTTGTTTTGCTGGAAGAAATTCTGCATACAATGTTACTCTGAAATAATAATGATTAATGTTATTCATATCTGCTCTAAGAATATTGATATTTTTATTTATGGAACTTACCAAATACTTACGATTGTGGGACACAACCAATAGCAAAACCAACTAATCCCCTAAGCAATAAGATCCATAAAAAATTTGGTGCAAAGGCACTTAGGAAAGCATAATAAAGCAGCAATATTGCACATAAAGTTAAGGATTGTTTACTACCATATCTATCACTTAAATTACTCCAAAATGTGGAACTTAGCATCATACCAAGAAAAACAACCTGAAATAAATGTAATAATATACAAAATCTCATTTAAAGAACTTTATTATATATTTTATTAAATAATATTACCGTGGTTGTTAAAGCTTGTTGATATCTAGTTATACCCCAATCACAGTGTAAGGATGGACTTAAAATGCTTAATATTGTTATTTCCATACTATCTACCATCCAACAAAGACCAGTAAATAAAGACAGCTTAACTTGAAATTTTCCAAATCCTAATGCATTGATAGCTTGGATAACAGTAAATGTATCTGTCAATGAATTCATTATAATATTAAAAGAAATATTGAATTTCAATAAAATAAATCATTTCATAAATAAAACATCAGCAATTGTCATATATAATATCATGTGTTATATGTTCAATTATTTAGCTGTTTAAATTTAAAAAAAATACAATTTGTTATAATATTTACATACAATATACAATATCTGATTTTTTAATATAAACAGTCTTAATAATATTACATAGAAAACGAATTTCTTAAATTCTAATATAATACATATAATATATATAACTGTTTGTTTGTTTGTTAATTGAAGTTATACGTAAAAATATATTTTACATGCTTTCATAAAATAAATGGTTAGTAACAATTTATTCGTACCCAGGTAGAAATTGAAATCAACTTAAAATCTGTGCAAAAGAAAGGCATCATTTGCGATATGTATTAATTGAAGCGATCCTGACTTAGAAGAGTCTGATGTTAATTTTCCATGCATAATAAGATATTTACACAACTTACAGTTACCCACTCCTTTACAGATAAGTTTAAGCAGATTATCCTGTACATAAAAATTGTCAGTAATATTGTAAAGGTGGATTATAATAATTTACTCATGTTACAATGTAAATATTGTTAAAAAAAAAAATTTACCATCTGGGATAACTGCAACGGAAGAAAGTTCCAAAGAACGTTCAACGCAATTTAGAAAATTTCTGTTACATCTTGAAACATTTTCTGAATTAACATTCAATTCAGAACCACGTAATCCTCCTAATTCGTGATAAGGTTCGTCAGATACTTGCGATGCATTAGACATGATTGTACCTATATTATATACACGAAATATTTATAATTATGACCAATATAATTAAGTGACTTAGAAAATCAAATGATCCAATTGATTAATCAGATATGAAAATCTTTAACAATATGTAAAGCGTAATAACCTCCTTGAAGATGAGGTTAAGTTTGTCAATCTGTCAATTGACGTTACCAAAACAAACACCGAATTACAAAACATCAAGAAATATCATATTCTGTCCAAAATCATTTGAATCAAGAGAGATGAACATGCATTCTTTATTACATGATGATTTAGCTGTTGGCTAAAATGTGTTATTTAATAATATTTGAAAATTGCAAATTAAAATAAATTAAGTTTTTAAAAAATTCTATCGTTGCGTATGATATACATGATATACAATATCTGTCTGTCATTGTGTACGTATTTTATTGATAAATGTGTTCCATATATACGAATACATATACACGTATAAAGTTCATAATTCTTTAATTTTTAATTAAAAATTCAATTTCCCTGAAAATTTATGGACTTGCTAGTAACATAGATTTCTAGTTATTTTTTTTTACTTTTTTAAATAGGCGACAAGGTGCTTCTTCTATAGTCATACATAATTTCAGGATATTTACGATTAATGCTTTGTATAAAACGTACTTAATTATTGGGATACAAAGAAATGCCACAATATACGTGCAATGAAAATAACATCGAATATATAAGTATTTTTACTACTAAAAATATTGGGTAAAATAATTTCGACGTATATGAAATTTTATTTAAAGATATTCAATGAATATCATGTATGATATTTCATAATTGTCATACGTGGTCTTTAAGCATAAATAATTATCTTTGTATTGTTTAATTACGCTTAAATTATGAGCGTTGACAGCGAAAATAAGTCAAATGAAGCTATTGCTCCATTTTCACCATCAGCAGATCAGGAAAATGCAGATAATGGAAACATTCAAGGAACTAATATAACCCCAGAAATGGTGCTACGATTACCTACAATTACTGATAGTAAGTATTCTTCCTTTTTTTTTTAAATGTATCATTCAACAAGTAAGTATTAAACATAAATTATATATTTATGTTACTTTCAGAGTATTTATGTTCTCCTGAGGCAAATATTTATGATATAGATTTTACAAGATTTCAAATTAGAGATTTAGAAACAGGAGCAATATTATTTGAGATAACAAAACCTCCAGCTATTGGTTAGTAATTGTAAAGTTATTACCCTAAATATTACAAATTTCTAATTCTAATTTTCATATTTTATACATTATTGTATAGAAGTTAAATTTTATTATTTCTCTTTTAGAATGTGATTCTAATCAAGATGTGGAACCAGAAAATGAAGAGTCTGGTTGTGAGGATGCTAATACTGGCCGTTTTGTACGATATCAATTTACACCTCAGTTTCTTAAATTGAAGACTGTTGGAGCTACAATTGAGTTTCTAGTGGGTTCTAAACCTGTGAACAATTTTCGAATGATTGAACGTCACTTCTTTAGGGACAGGTTGTTGAAAACTTTTGACTTTCAATTTGGGTTTTGTATACCAAATAGCAAGAATACTTGTGAACACATTTATGAATTTCCTACTTTACCTGCTGACTTGGGTAAGCAGTGAATAATTATTCAACACAACTTTATTAATTCCTAATATATAAATATTACAGTTTCTGAAATGATTGCTAATCCATTTGAAACACGTTCGGATTCTTTTTATTTTGTGGACAATCAATTGGTCATGCATAATAAAGCTGATTATGCATATAATGGTGGGCATACACATGATGTACTTTAGTAACTGAAGTCAGTAAAAATAATTTGCACTTGCAAAAAATGATTGTGATAATAGTAGCGAATATTTAGCTAATTTAAAATTACAATCTTATTTCTTTTTATAAATGTTGAATTTGCATCATATGCAATTTTTCACTTTTTTAATTCAATTTATTTCTAGTTCAGTATTTAGAACACTTCTCTATGTTGTACTTATATTTGAATAAAAATATTTTTGTTTTATTATAATCAAAAATTCTATTGATGCTTAATATTTAAATAGTTGTTTTCTTAAATATGGCCTTACATAAAATTGTTTCTCAGTTTTAACATTATTAAATTTTAACATTATTAAATTTTAACTAATGACATTAAATATTTTTACGAAAACAAAAAATAAGAGGCTAAAGAGATATAGAGCTTTGTAAGTTTTTAACAAGCACAAAATTCATAAGTTTATACTGCATAAAATTTTATCTCATTTCATTATTTTTCTCTTGTTTTATATGTAATGTTGTAACATTCACAAATATATGTATATATTTACAAAAGATATTGTGTATTTTTCACATGTAAAATGATAATAAATTATGGCTGGTTAATGAAATCAATCGTTGTTTTTAAAAATTCTGTTGGCTTATCTGCATGCACCCAATGATCTGCATCATTTATATAAATAAAGCTAGCAGAAGGAAATAATTTTTTAATTTTATCATGATCTTCTACTTTTATATAGTCACTTTTAGAACCACCCATAAACAGTGTTGATCCATTATACACTCTTGATCCTACATCTGGAAATACAGCTATTTGTGCGAAGTTTTGCTCTAACACAGGTAAATTAACCCGCCATTTAAATTTTCCATTATTTGCTTCTACTAAATTCATTGCTAAAAACTGTAATAAGAAAATGTTAATTTATAATTTATATAAATGGTTATAATTTATACAAATATGTGATTACCTGACGTAAAGGTAAAGATTTAATAGCATTTGCTAGTTGATCTTTGACACTTGTACGTGCCTTTGTCAATGTTGTGACTCCTTCTAGATTTACTGTGCGCATTGCTTTGAATATCTTTTCCATGTTCATGAGCTGGGGACTAGTTCTCACCGGAGACATATCAACTATTATTAATTTCTCTACTAATTGTGGGTAATTTAAGGCTACATACATCATCGCAGAACCACCCATACTATGTCCTACTAATATAGATTTCTCAAATCCTAAATCATTCATAAGTTGAACTATATCTTGTGCCATATGACTGTATGTCATGTCTGAAGAATGTGGAGAATCTCCATGGTTTCGTGCATCTATAGTTATTACCTATAAATTTATGTTAAGTATTTTTTGTATTATATAAAATTAAAATATCTACCTTACGATTTGTATCCCGATGAATTGTTTTTGATAACGAATTCCAATTAGTTTTTGAACCAAAAAGACCATGCATTATTATTATAGGTTGCTTAGAAGCATTTTTATTTCCACCCATAGATTCATAGGAAACATAGGCTAGTTTTACTGGTATCACACTTGAAAATTAACAATAATGAAATAAAGGGTATATTATAACAATTAAGCTATGTAAATACTGAAACAAACACTACATATGTACATATATGTATGTGTATATACGTACGAATTAGAATTAAAACGTATTTGTTTAGAAGATAGATATGGTACAAAAAATGAAGTAACAATGAAATCCTGTCTTCGACAATGGAGAAAACTATTTCGCGTTATTACATATCGACAGCATATGCTACTCATATTTTTATTTTTTTTATTTTTTTTAACAATATTTAACAATAAATTTTAATTGTCTTTTATAAAGACTTATATTTTATGTTACTTATTTATAACATAAATTCATAAACCATAAATGAATCAAGTACATGTGATAAAAGTACATTGTGCAAATAATATTACAATTCAGTATTTAGATTACACAATTATATACATCTATTATATAAATAAATTGAGTAATAATTTGTATATAGATTGTTTCTATGTCATATATATTCGTAGTTAAACAAATCACTTTCAATGTAGTATATCTTCATACGTAATGTAGTACACATATATATACGTTAATGTAGTATACGTATATATACATAGTAGTATATATGTAGTATTCTATGAATGCATAATAACTGGTTGAATGATCAAATGCTAGCATTAGTTGTAAACTTATAAAGTTTTAGTATATTTAAATAATAACATTTCAATAATTAAAATTAATAATTCTAAGATAAATGATTTGATACATATAGGGCGAAAGGATTTGGATAAGAAATTTAAAAAATTTTAATTTCAAATTAATTAATATATTTTATATAATATTCATATAAATATAGAATTAATTAATTATATAATAAAATTTATATAATAGGAATTAAATTTTGAATTTTTTTTAATTTTATTCCTTTTTAATATACATAATAATTATTGCATGTATACAGATAAAATGTTAATCAGTATTGATTTACATTAATTCTATATAATAATGAATTAAAAATTGCGTTAATCTTTAAAAAGAATGTTTCAGTAGAATAAAATAATCATAATCATTATAATTTTATAAGTTGCGCAGTAAAATTTTGATGCTATTATTTTTAAAAAAATATAAATATTTCAAAAATTATAGTTTTGAATTGATTAAAATTTTGATGGAATATTTTTAAAAAAATTGGAAATTATTAAAATCTCCAGAAATTTAATCTTTAAAAAGTATGTCTAGAAAATTCAGATAAAGCGTCTAGAGAATAATTTTGTAATAAAATTATAATAATAAAAAGTTTTTTTTTTGTCAAATTTCTAAATCTATTCGGTATTTTGTATAAAACTTCCAGAAATGTTAAATGTTATATATTATATATATTTTTAGTGATTTATCTAATGAAAGTAAAATAATTTCCAATCGATACAATTAATATTTAATCATATTGCAATTGAGATTTTCTAGTATTATGTTATAATGATAAAATATCTATTAATAGAAAATAGAGCTATTACTGTTTAATACATACTTCAATATTTCAATTAAAGTGAGGTAATGAAAATTAATAAGTACGTATATCATAATTCTATTTTAATAAAAGTTATTACGAATTTTATTGAAAGTAATTTTTGACTTTATTTAATACAAAAAAATCTGAAACTCATTTTATCGGATTTTATAGGCAAGTGAGATGTGCATCTATCTATGTTATTAATTTCGCGGCAAAATGCATACGTGGCGCTGTGGTAGCAACATGCCACTGTGAAGTGGCAAGAAAAAGACAAGTCGTATGTCGTTTTTAATTGGTTCGGATTGTAATTTAATAAAATGAGGTGGCTCATTCCGTGTTTATTCCTAATTTTTTCAAACCCCTGTGTAAACTGCTATTTCATTACCGTAGACGCGCACGCCGAGGAATGTTTCTTTGACAATGTGGAAGCGGGCACGAAAATGGGTTAGTTTCCACTTTTCTACTTATCTTCAATATTTATTGAAAAAGTAATAAATTGCAATCTTTTGAAATAAAAGTTTTGCAAAATTACGTTTCTAAATAAATGTTTAAGCAATTTTTCTGTATTGAAAATGTATATATTAATCAAAGGTTTTGTTATTACTCTCGAAATCAATATTGAATTAATCGTGTAAAATAGTGTGAAACAATATCATTGCGTCATTTAAAATTGCTGATTTGGATAATTAAAGCTCTTGTACAATTTGGCAAGATATACGTGTAAATATTTATTTAAATTTATACTTTGAATAAATAGTATAACATTAAAAATATTTTAAACGATTGTTTTGAAGCAGTTATTTTTGCAAATAAAATTACTATTTTATTTTTAAATTTTATTGTAACTATTATAATGCATTACGTTAAGTAATATAAATTTGTTAAATTTTTATTTGAAAAATATTTTTGTTCAATAAAAATAAAATATACATCCATTGTGTGATTATCACAATTTTTGATTTGAGTAGCAGAAAAAAATAATTCTTTTATTCTTTATAGAAGAACCCAGATATTTCTTTATTTATTTTTTGTCACATATTTGAAAGTAATATTATATTTAAAAATAATATTATTTTTGTAGGTCTTACATTTGAAATAGCAGAAGGCGGATTTCTAGATATAGATGTAAAAATAATTGGTCCTGATGGAAAAATAATTTATCAAGGTGATCAAGAAAGCAGTGGTAAATATACATTTGCTGCACATCTTCCTGGTATTTATACTTATTGTTTTGGAAATCAAAAAAGTAGTATGACACCAAAAGTAGTGATGTTTAATATGGATATTGGTGAAAATACAAAGCCCATAGAACAAACTTCAGATGGAAAAAATTCTGATCCAAATCATAACAAAATAGATGATATGATTAAAGAATTAAGTACAAGTTTATGGAGTGTGAAAAATGAGCAAGAGTACATGCAGGTAATTTGTCTTTGTAACATCATGTATCTAAATTTATTGAATTGTGAGGAGTTTTTAATAAAATCAAAATATTTTATTTATAGGTTAGAGATAGAAATCATAGAGCTATCAGTGAAAGCACAAATTCTCGTGTAGTTATGTGGGCATTTTTTGAAGCTATGGTTTTGGTTTGTATGACAATAGGACAAATTTTCTATCTAAAACGATTCTTCGAAGTTAGAAGAGTCGTCTAATTCAATATATATAATAAAATACACTCATTGTACATTTTTTTACATGATTAAGTTATAATAGAATTAAAAAATTTAAATATTTTGAAGTTATTTTTTTCCTTAAATTTGACATACACAGATATACAGTGACATTGAAAACCTGTAATGCAGTATGATTTCTTACTTTATGATACAATATTTTAACAATATTAAATAAAATGTTTTTTGCACCACTAGTAATTGAAAAAATAATTTAGTTTATATATAACTTAAAATATATATATATCTTGTATAAGATCAAATTATTCTTATATTAATAATCAATTTGCAGAGTTATTATTTTTATTGAATAAATATGTACAGAAGTTTGTACTGATGTATTATATAATTTTCATACACGAATTCAAATTCTATAAATTGTCTATTAATTAAATAAGCAAACATTAAAATAATTTAACAAAACTAGAATTTAAAGTAATACCATTTATACAATTGTACAGAGTTATATGATTTAATAAAAAGATACAAATTAATCATCTGATGTTTCTATTAGATATATTTCAGTAGTGAATTTTATGTAAATTTTATTTATTATTTTCTATTCTGTAGATAGTAGTTTTAGTGATCTTGATGTAAGTCAGATTGAAAAGATATCAATATTATTTATAAAAACACATTGATATAATTAAAAACATTTCAACATCAACAAATATATATGGAAAATAGTCTAGATTGGTTTATACATTCAAAGTTTAAAATTAATTAATTTATTATTATTGTTATATTCGTTATATTACTATTATTTATTATTATAGTCATACAATCATAAATAATATACATATAAAGAAAATTGTAGATGTAACGATCGTTCATAGTTTCTCCTTACGTTTTTTAATTTCATGGTGAAAGTGAAGTTTTTTGCGTAATATTCCGAATGTATTTCACGTTTAATGCTGAAATACGATTATCCGATTAACTGGGTTTCAGTTTCCAAATATTTGAAAAACATTGAAACCATTCATAGCGGGGCTCTCTAGTCACATAACTCGTCTGATTCGTGAAGCAAGCGTGAGAATAAATGAATGAAATAAGAAGGGTGGTAGGAGCACCCTTCTGGTATTCACCCTAGGGCACTTAAGTTAGAAAGGCTCATTGTCCGCTCCTTCTCATTAGATGCCACCTAGCAGTTCCATCGACCCTACGTAGTAACAATACTGTGGATGCTTTTTTCCTCCTCCTTGATCTGTAGCTGCAGGAAACACGAGCGGATTGCATGTCTCGGTGTCTGCTCTAATCCCGGCCATGATTATACCGAAAGACAATACTTTTGGTACCCCCCTGCAGCTAGTGTGAAATGTCGGATACGGAATTGGACAGTATTACTCTCTGTTGAACTTGTTCGTGCGAGTTCGAAAGTTGGAAATGCTTGTAAGCCATTATTTTTATGTAAATTCGAAGTTTTAGAATAGATATGTCTATGTATTATTTATAAATGTAGCAAAACTATAAACAATATGTGCTTTTTGTCATTTATTATCAATTATAACGTCTTTTATTTTTTCGAAGTGATCTCGTGATCGATCTGACATATATATAGGTTACGTTTAGATATTCGAATCTTCTGTCAGACATCCTATCTCTTAAAATTAATTGAAGTGCTTCGTAGAATATGTATATGGTTTGTAACATCGACTTGATTTATGTTAACACCAAAACAATCGAATAATTTTCATTAACAGTTTCAGAGTTTCTTTTTTGTTTACAATTGCTTAAAAGATATTTTACGGATATTTTTGTCAAAATCTATATTGATTTCTGTTTAGACAGAACCGTAATTGTTTAAATCTACTTGTTTTAATTGTAATCATTTAAATTATAATACATTACGCTAACACATGATTTATTATTATATTGTAAATATTGCAGATACGGAACGAATAACAAAAATTAAATGATAATTTTGTAATTATTCGCGAAGCTGACAAATATTTGTAATCGGAATTATAACAGACGATACATGACGATATGTCATGTATCGTAATTATTGAGTTTACTAACTGTGCAATTCAATCATGGTTTCATATAACAGGCCAGCATTCAACGTCATTGAAAAATATAACAAATTGAAGACAAATATTTAACTTTATTTTTAAGGCTTGTCAGCCGGCATGCAATCGGAACTATAATAGACGATACATGACGATATGCGTAATTATTGAGTTTACTAACTGTGCAATTCAATCATGGTTTCATATAACAGGCCAGCATTCAACGTCATTGAAAAATATAACATACGGTCATAAATTCATCGCCATTGAGGTACGATATGCGAGCAATGAAAACGTTGATTACAAATGTTCCACGAGCAACTGTGAATTACTGGTCACAGAGTTTACTGAGAAAATTGTTGCTTCGTTCCCTTTTTAAAGATATTTGATCGTAAATGATTGATTAACCGACGATTACGAATATCCTAAGGTGAACAATTACTTGATATAGATATGTATGTAGTTTGGAATTTGAAACTTTTCCACACACGTTGAAATTGTAATGGATGCAGAAATTGTAGAAAATTTTTGTACATCGATAAATTTTAAATAACAGATCTTGGTTTATTACTTAAATTTTGGTAAACCAATGATTTTGTATATATTAAAAAAAATTTCCAAAATAAATATTGTACGAAAAGCTTGTTATAACATGTTATCTCAATTGGAATATTTATTATAATTCCAATTACTGTAATAGTGCAATATGGATCGTTATTACTAGACTATTTAATCATAAACTTAAATCTTGTTATACACACGCAGCGAAGAAAAGAAAGAATTTAGCAATTTCACTAGCTTCCAATTACCTTTCGTTGGGTCAGCTCTATAATTTAACGCTCTGGTTGGTAACGTGTGTTCTTGACAAGAAATATGTAAATTTATTAGAGCAATTGCACGACTCTAACGAGGGGTCTTAAGGTGTAATTACCACTGTCCTATCAATGTCTGAACAAATTTGACCAACTGGAAGAATTTGTAATGTCAGACACCCTATTTGGTTTATTCAGCTGAGAAATTACCCTTTTACACAACTGAAATTTTAGTAAATGGCTATAATTCTTTTGTGTGGAGCCTTTTGTTGAATGGCAGTAGAAATGTACTATTAGATCTAGAGACTATTGATTGTTCTATTTTACATAAAACTAATTAATTATTATCGTGTAAGTATACTCAGTGTACAGTCGTGTGATTAAAATATCTTCAATTCACAGGTGTATTTTACATTAAAATAAGAAACGCATTCTATACAGAAGAAAAGAATAGACAGACTATATAGAAAATTCTCAAAGGCATCACAGACAGTGAATCCCACAATTAATCGACCGCAATATTTATTATCCGATCGTTAAAAAAGATTCACGGGATAAATTGGTAGATTTATCGAAGATACGAAGGGCTTGGCCCGAAACGGAACAAAAAAGGATGCTGCTAATTAAGGAGAATGATTACACATAACAGTATAATGAAGAGAAAGAAAGAAGAATTAGAGTCATACTGTGATTAATAGTAAATAATTTTACTCGCAAAGGATTAATCGAACGTCGAAAGAACGCGGCTTGCTTAACGAGATATAACGTTAAACGATTTGTTAAACTTGTCACGAAAATGTTGTTGAACTCGGAGACAATTATATGATACCTTATAAAGAAATTGACGTCATATTTTTCATGCATTTACAAAAGGTACATCACATTGGTGTGAATGTACAAAGGTATGTATTTCATTGTTTATTAAATTTTCAGAAGGACACCGGATTTGAATAAATTAATTTAATTTAATGAAAGAAAAGAAAAGATCGGTATCTTTCTCTGTAATACTCATTTTGTACATTTATGACGGAGACCAAAGGATTTGAGTAGTCAAGACTGTGTAAAGGGGTAAACTCACCATGTTACCAGGAGAGCTAGGGAACGGCATTCTGTTCGGAAAAAAAAAAGAAAATAAGGAGAACATATAAAAAAAAGGTAAAGATCTTGAAGTTCAAAAGTGCCGCCCGTGAGCCCATTATGTTGATCTGTTAAACCACTACGTGTGCAAATTTTGATAGTATAAATTAGTAATCTATTTTAAAATTGTATAGCTTTTTGCTGTACATACGTTAATTATTTGTTTCAATAACTCTTTACAAAAATGTTTTTAAACAATCTTTCACAACGAAACGCCATATTAATGTCAATTCAATGATAATATGTAAAAGAACCTGGGAATGAACCCCTTCAATTGTCGAAGCAGAACGTGTTTACATGTAAAACAAGTGGTTTATCGTGTTCATCGATGTGAGTAAGAGTTCTGCCTTTCTTACTAATGACCCAACTTCATTTCGAAGGGAGACTACCTTTAAAGGCGATAATTGTATCCACATTCTTTTCCCGCAGAGTTAAACATTGTACTCCAACTAATCCTGATGTATATATACATATAATACATACAAAAGATTGCTCTATCATGCCTAGTATTTTTATTATAAATACTATTAATTGATGAGATAAAGAAAATTATAATATAACAAGTAGTTCCATGTTTTGGCATGAAATTAGTTTGGAAATATTTTATAGAAATATCGATTCATAATAGATATGATTTGAATAAATATAGATTTGCCATCTTGTTATTTTTTTAATATGCAAACGATAATTATATGAAATCAATAATAATATATTATTATAATGAAACAAGTAAGAGATTGATAAATTGAGTCGGCAAATCATTAATTATATGCATGTGCTTATTTAACAATCAGACGATTACATATTGTAGTTTATGACACGAGAAACATTATATTTTTTATTTAAAAAATTACCATAAAATTCTTTACTCATCAAATTAATCCGCTTCTAATTAACTAAGACGTCTACAAAGATTTTGATAGCGCGTTCTATTGTTTGCTTATGAAAATTCTGTTTAGATACCCTACTTCTTCCTAATTACTTTCTTGAATAGTTTTGTGGTTTGTACACGTGACTCTCACCAAAGATTTACTCAACAACTTGCTTCAAATAATATAAGAACGATTTAGAACTTGCTTCGAAAAAAAAAAATGAAATTTTTGATTGATTTTTATTAAGCCACGTTCGTTCTTTGGTGAATTCCTCTGTTGGATTCCTCGCCCCCCCCTCCCCCTCCCCAAAAAAAAAATCTTTGTCGAACAAGAAGGATCACGAAACCACCCTTTTGTCTCTCCGGAATCACTCGAAGGAAAGAGAGAGAAAAAGCGAGAGAAGGAGAGAGAAAGGAGGAGTCGAATCGAAATCCTCCTCGGGGTCCTTCGCGAAAGAAGGGGTTGCATTCGGGCAGGAAAAAAAGAGCTGCTAATTGACACGAGCGATTGCACGTAACGGTATAATTAGAGAGAAGAATACGGAGCCTGGACCGGTGCACCGATGAACCAATGAACCGGCCAGAGAGCGGCAAGAGGGGAAGGAGAGAAACAGAAAGGCAAAGGGAAGCAGGGGAGAGAAGCAGCCGGCAAGTTCCGTCGAGGGTAGTGATGGGCATTCAGTTTCTCCTATATCGTGAGTTTTCAAACAATTTACACGTATATCAGCACGTTTGATTGGTATTGGGGATCGCCGGTGACCGACACCTAGACCTTCCCGTCGACGCCATAGAGGATACCAGTCAATTAATCAAAGTAATTTTCTCATGATTCAATGAACTTTTCCAATAACGAACAAGTTTGTTTCAGGATTATCAAGGATTATCAGCTCAAGTACGCAATAATTTCTGGAACAGGGTTGCTACAATTATAATATCTTTTAAATTAATCCGTGTGTTAAAGATTTATTTAACCTTTAACCTAATATGACGATAAGATAATAAGATGGCTTTTTAAAATCAAATCTAAAAAACATTGAAAGTAAGCGATATCAGCTAAGATATATAAAATTCAACAACAAAAAGTAATTAATCTTCTAAAAAAATTGCAGAGTCAAGTAAAATTTAACTGCAACAAATATCTGAAGAAGAACGAACCGATCTACCAGCCATAATTTATCCTGAACGTTACTCGTCAGATGTCCAACTGCACGCGAAAGGAAGGCAAACCAAGGAGATTCAATTTTATCATTTAATCGACGAATAATTACGGATAATGGAGAGCTCGCGGTGTTCGTTTCAACAGATTCGTGGTGCCTTAAGGCCATCACTAGTCGAGGGGGCTCCCTCTTCGGAAGAACGAGCAGGAGAGACCGATCCCGTGGCGTGCAGGAGAGACAAGGCAGCGGGAGAGAACGAAACGTACCACGGTCTCGTGGATTCTGCCTGCACTCTGCGACCATTCCGCAGTAACACGTCGTCCATCCAAGTCGGTTTCGCAGCGTTCCTCGGTCCCTGGCCTCTTGCCACGAGGCAGTACTTGTCCTCGAGATGATCCAGCAACCGATCCGCCGTGGGACCGGCTTTTCTTCATCGATCCTCTCCGCCTCTGTTTAAAAAGTCTCTCCTTCGAGTCCTTTACCTGAAAAAATTCCTTCGATCGTGCCTGGGAACTTCACGTGTGCCAAATATGATTCTGATTCCTTCGCCTCTTCGGATCTCGTAATATTCTCGCTGGATCTCAAAGTGGTGAACGGTGAACAGGACACTTTGAAAAAAGAAAGAAAAAAGAAATTTCGAATCAGCGTGAATGGGTGATTCCTAAGACGATTCATTCGGCCGGAGGTTGTTTCGAAGTTCGTAGGCAACATAGCTACGGAGACGCTTGGTGACGCTTCGTTTTTCGAATCGACGAGGATGAAGAGCCACGAAGAAGGTCGAGAGGATTTTACCACGGTGTGCCACGGCGTTCGTCGCGGACGCCTCGGGGAACGGAAGTGACGAGAAATCTTTCGGTGTTTGAAGAGCTCACGGAATGATTGAGAATTAGAGAATGTGTTTACCTGTTGGTGTTTCGAGTGACTGCTTTCGATGACACTTCCGCAACCGTTTCGCCTCTCGACGAACAGGTGATTCGCGGTTTCATGAGACCGATTCTTCTTCTCTGCATTTATCAACAGTGACTAACGAAAATTTTCTTGCACCCCCCCTAAATGATCCACGTATTTAATTAATAAACGATTCTTTCTCCCTTTTTAAAGTTATTAAATTTTTCATTTTCAAAGAATTGTAAGATATTCTCCCGCCCTCCCAAAAAAGAAAAAGAAAACAAATTTTGTTGCAACAAACGCCTCTATTTTTTCATAATAAAATTTACATAGGAGCATGAACAAGAAAAGGAAACATTTTGCTCGTCGAAAGACATTCTTTTCGGTGTATTCGCGAGGACCGAGTGCTTCGATGACCGAGGATGAGTTATGAATTGTGTCGTGTGAAGAATGATTGGTCTCTCGGACAGAACCGGAAATCTGAACAGTGATTTTGACGAGTGTAAGCCCGACACGGGCTTTGTTATCCGGTACTAGTTCACAGAAAGTAAGTGTCGTTGCGTGACTTTCGTCCGATAAAAAGTGAAACGTTGCCCGATTTTACTGGCGGAATAATTCGTCCTTAACGACTTTGGATACACCTGGTTCGGTGAGTAGATCGTTTAATCGGCTTAATGGGTCATGATAATTAACTATCGATAATGTAACCTTGCCTTTGTAACGTATTAATATTGTAATGTAGAAACTGGAGTCGATAGGATTATAAATACATCGGGTGCCTCTCGTCTGTTTAACCCATTAACCCTTTTCAACGTCACGTGATTTGGAAAATCGCACCTACCCCTAAATATACACACACCTTTACATCGAATCTGTATTTTATTTCGTTTGCGTAAATCGCAGGTTAAATTTAATTTAAATTTATTTTTATTTATTTATTTGTTTTTATCACGCGACGGTCTAATTCTTTCTTTTCTTCTAGTCGATGCACAGCAATAATTGCACGTTCATCGATCATTCGTTGTAAATGAAATTAATTTTCTACAAACACGATGATCGAATAACGTAAATATAAATCCAGCGATATTTAGTCTCCACTTCTCCTTGGAATGTTTCACCGCTGTAAAAATGATTAGGATCTCTATATTGTTCGTCTGACAAACGGATATGCATATCGTAATATCAAATCGCATTTCAATGGCGGCTCGGCTCGAAGACAATTTATTCCGGGAACAATATATCCCCGTTGAATTTTATACGGCCGGCGTTATCGAAACTAGTTCACCATAGCGTGAAAAATGCAACTGATCTATCTGGTTTCGTTGCGTTCGCGCCGCATAAATAGAGAAATGCCGGGCCCCGAGCAATAAAACAGTTGACGGGTTAATTATATCACAGCTTTCAGATTCTTTCGCACATTTCACAGAAGTTGATTTTGAATAAAATATTCATAGAGAGATCAATTGCGGATATTCGACGAACAATCAGTGGCGAGTTTCGACTCTGTGGTAAAATTTTCAAAGCGAAATTGTCTGGCGTCTATTAACCACTTGCGTTGGCAACTGATTGCGGACCATAACGAGTGACCAAACCGTATACGATAATTCGTCGCTTTCTCTTCGAACTCGTCGGTATGATATCACTGGATAGAAATTATTTAGAAAATTATTAATAAATTTACTATTTGTTTTGCCTGGGTTGTACTTAAATATACTTAAGACCAAGGGAATATTGCAATTTTGGGACAAAAAATTCTCGACGTGCGTGGCACGTCATTCCAGCGCAAGAGGTTAATACTCAATTGGTCTATAATTTTCTATAATTTATAGGTTCCTATAATTTAAACTCCGTTCTATTCTTTGCAAGATCCTTTTCTTTTTTTTAATGACAAGAGACTGCGTATTCGTGAAGCGTGTAACTTCAAAAAATCGATCGAATTCGATGAAAGAGAGCCACAATAATATCTCGCGGAAGAAAACGTAATTTGTAGAGAAACGAAATTTCTGTTACGTGTTGCGTTGTAAATTCCGTCCAACTTCCGATCATTATCATTTACTGTGATTTGCCCGCAAGTTGTCTTAACATATAATCTGGTTATGGATGAGGCACGGGTTACACTCGAGCAACCTTATCTCGTCAGCTTTGAGCTTTTGCTAAGTAACTTCCTTACTATACGATGCGAGAGATTTCCCACTAACAGATACGAATTGTATGCGACTGCAGATGTTGAAAGTTGGCCGGCGTAGATTAACGGAATAACGTAATTGATTGAGAAGTTTACGACAGGAATTAATGGGACATAAAACTCGCGTAACGTGGCTCTTCCTTTCGTGATTCGCAAGATTTTTTTTGCTAACAACGTTAGTCAGTTGTTTTTTTCTTTCATCCAAGAAAAAATTACTCTCTCGTGTTTCGTCCGATCGGCAGAAATTAACGAGGCGCGGCGTCGTCGAAAAGTGAACTCGAACAGCGGCATTTTATGCGAATTCCTGACGTTGTAATCCTAAGTCGCTGTAAGTAATAGGATCTCGTTAGCGAAGAATCGGTGTGTACGATGGCATTCGACATCGATAAACATTAAGTCAAGCCGTTAAGGTGAGCTTTCGTTGGTAAGGTTGCATCGATCGATCGATCGATGAACGTTCGCGCCGTTGACCCACGACTTTCCTTCGATGATCGCTGCTCAATGATTTACGAGACCCGAGGCAGATTAATTGCTGCACGCTTTTAACGAGACCTGGTGTTCCCCAACCGATGATTATCCGTGTTTTATCGTGCTGCTACCTGGCTATGAGGCTATTGCGCCTCGCCATTGTGCATCTTGCAGAAACTTTCCTCTGGAAATACTACCGAAAGTATTTTTTTTAAAAACCTTTTATCTCTGCAGAAGGAATTAATTTCATTTCAGGCGATTAAAAACAGGCATTAAGATAACAAGAAACGCATCGAATGAGCATAACCGTGCGTGCTACCGATATCGCAGTTTAGTTTAAATTTACATCGTTTTCGATCGAGCAGCCACTTTCATCGTTAATTAAGCGAGTACAATTTGTTTAATTCAATAAGCATCCGCATTACTTTGGCATTTCCATACACGTAGGGTAAAGGCAGTTGGCCGCCACCTGACTGAGAGACATCATAAATTCACCGCCGATAAACCTACTGAAATCCAATAATACCCGGTATCATCGCGCAGGTATATAACGTCGCCGCGCCGATAGCAGAAGCAGTAAACGGTGTAAAATGTGCGGATACTTAGCTTATCGAACTTATCAGTTTAATTGCAATTCTTTTAATCCTCGAAAATCTCATCCTCTCGGAAATGAAGTTTATCCTCTCGGTTGTATTCGTAAGTTCGTGAGACTTACCATTTATCTCGGTTAATTATTTATCTCGATGCTCAGTGTCTTCTCTTCGTTTTAGCTTCGAGTCTTTTGAAGAATCTCTTTGGAAATCTTTCTTTCTTTTATTCTCTCCTTTTGCTTCTTCTTTCCGATATCTTTTTATCTTCTCTCTCTCTCTCTCTCTCTCTCTCTCTTTCTCTTCCGTTGTCAGTACCTTTAGTCCCAAGTAATACTTTATTCGTTTCCTTTCTTTTTTTTTCTTCCCTTCCTCTGTTGCCTCCACCGCGTACGTTTGCAATTTCTTGAACTTTTTCTCTGTATTCCTCTCCACCATTATCTCTTCCCGTCCTTTCTTTTACTCTCTCTGGCTACTGTCCCTCACCCGGAGTCCTCCGTACGCACCTCCTTTCTCTCCTCTCGAGTCTACGAGCCCGGTAGGCACGCTCTCGTTTTCTCGCATGCACGCGTACGGTGAATGTGTTCTCCTCGTATCGTCCCTATCCAGCAACTTCGTTAAGAGGACTCGAGTCGTCCTGCTGCTGCTGCTGCTGCTGCTGCTGCTGCTCGTGAAAATCCCCGGGCCGACTCGTCGAGGACAGGTTGATTCAACGACGTACACACCTTTTCCCTGCCATGAAAAACAACGATCCGCTCTTACCTGGCTGTAAAGTGGTCTGGGTATTTATGGATGTTTAAGAACGCGGAATAATGGCCCTGAGAAATGTAAAAAAAAGTACAGGCTCGCATACCAGATGCGCGATCCTCGTATAGTGCGTATAGTTTTGAAGGGACACTTCACTTTCGTACGCTTCGAATTTTTCTATTCGACGTGTTATACAAGTCCAACAATTGTTGCAATTTATTACGGGAAGATTGGTTACATAGTTTGCATTTGGCCGTAGGATTAAGATAACTCGAGGAAGAGAAAACACGGATTTGGAATAAGTATGCCGTTGAGAGTGTATCTTTAACAAAGATGCTCAAGATCAAGTTTTGCTCATTGTTAGCCATTTTCTAGAAAATAGTTCTACTTTCCAAAGAAAAACTTGGGTTTATGATTATGGCAGTAGGTACGTGTCTCGAAGAATGAGGGCGAGATAAAGCTGAAAGATGCACAGTGCAAAGAGTCTCCTCTCCAAACTCGAGCACTGCCCTTTAAACAAAACGACCACCGAATGTTGTTGAAATAGCAAGTAGATGTTGTTTAGATAATGATAATGTCGAACCACTGTCCTTACCGTAAGATATTTCACGTTGTAAGGAAGTATCTCATCAAAGGAGCCGAGAGTTTGTCTCTCCTCCAGTTTGGAATCGGCATTTTATAAAAATATATTTATATTTAGAAGTATAGTGGCACACGCGTAGTTCTCTTGCGATATTTTTCGTCAAAACAAATAGTACATTAGCAAAATCTTTGTAGACAATAAATTTTGCTCTGTGATAACAAAATTTTGATATTTCTTGTGTTGTTATCGTCATTATTTGAAATTTCCACTGTACGCGAGTGAACTATTTATTTCTCGAAACAGATTTTGCTAATGTATCTTTTGCTATTGTGAAGATGTCGTCCAAAAGAAGCTGTAGATGTGCCAATATTTTTTTTTTTTTTTTTTTTTTTTTGCCCCGCTCTCTTTTAATCCATTTTAATCGCGCGCCGAGAAGATTGCATCGGCTTTCGACAAATGCACGGTTGTGGATGATTGTTTTTTGGATGGAATTCTTTGGGAATTTGTTGAAGAATTAACATCTAAATTTGCAAAAGTTTCGTCTTCTTTCGAGGGGAAGAAGGAGAAGCTGGCGGATGCAGAAACGAGAGAATCGTGACGATTATTTAACATAGGAGTTTTTAATTGAATTGAACTTTTTATTAATAATCCCTTGACGAGGAATATGAAATACAGAGTGAAAAATTGAATAA